GGCGTTATCTGGTGAGTGGACCCTATGAATAGAATTACAGCCACGACGCAAAATGACGGAATGAAGAGATACCAAATCTTTTTTGATTGCGGTTTATTGAAGTATTTTCTGTCTAGAGACTACAAAGTGAGAGCCTTAGACATCGTCGGCGGTCTTCTCGATCCACTCGTGGAAGTGGGCGACGTCAGCATAAACACCGGGATACCTCACATCGCCGCAGCCATAGCCCCAGGAGACAACGCCGACGAGACGGCTGCCGGAGACCAGGGGACCGCCAGAATCGCCCTGGCAGGCATCCTTGTGCTCGGCGTAGGCGCAGATCATGGTGTCCTTGATCTTGCTGCCATAGCTGAACTCGTCGGAGGCGCACTTCTCGCGATCAACGATCTTGAGGTCGACAGCCAACAGATGGTCGGGAATGACGCTGCCGCCGGACTCGGTGGTGCCCCAGCCGGAGACAACAGCCTTGGCTCCTTCGCGTGGGTTGGAGCTGGCAATGCGGATTTCCCTAATGCTCGAGCGGAAGCTCAGGTCGGACTCGATGCGGATGATGGCAATGTCGTTGACCATGGTGCTGGCGTCGTATCCCTCGTGGTTCCTGAAAGCACGCACCGAGTGCACGCTTCCGCCGGAGCGCCAGTAGGTGCTGCCCACGCGAACCTTCAGATCCTTGGCCTCAATCGACTGCAGGCAGTGAGCAGCAGTGATGACGATGTCGTGGGAGTAGATGGAGCCACCGCAGAAGTGGGATCCGCTGCGCTGCAGGGACACCTGGTAAGGGTGAGCCTCGATGCTGGTCTCGTAGCCACCGACAATGCGGCCATCTAGCTGGGGCAGGAGACCCTCGGGGATGGTGCCGCCCAAAGCGCAGGCAATAGCCGACAGAAGTACTACAAATCTCAACATGTTTCTCAGTTGTATGACTACCTTCGGATTAGCTCAGGCTTATATAGGTGTCCAGGAACACAGATCTGTAACTTGATTGACACCTATATCTTTACAATAGATGCTGCGTCACTTTCGCTGCGAGTCAATCGCCCAAAAGCGCCCAGAATTCAATCATCTTATCATCCTATCACCTTATCAGACACTGCCCACTCGAATTGACTTTACGCCGTCATATCCGCGATATGATTACTGCGGTTTGGGCAGCGAAAAGATAGGAATAGGCTGCCAAACACCTATAAAAGCGACACCCAGTTCTGCAGACAACGTATTCATTTCGCAATATGTTGAAGTTCGTGATCTTGTTGTCTGCTGTCGCCTGCGCCCTGGGAGGCACCATCCCAGAGGGTCTCCTGCCCCAGCTGGATGGCCGCATTGTTGGAGGCTCCGCCACCACCATCAGCAGCTTCCCCTGGCAGATCTCCCTGCAGCGCAGTGGCTCCCACTCCTGCGGTGGCTCGGTCTACTCCGCCAACATCATTGTGACCGCTGCTCACTGCCTGCAGTCCGTGTCCGCCTCGACCCTCCAGGTCCGTGCCGGTTCCACCTACTGGAGCTCCGGCGGCACCGCCGTCAAGGTTGCGTCCTTCAAGAACCACGAGGGCTACAACGCCAACACCATGGTCAACGACATCGCTGTCATCAGGTTGAGCTCTTCCCTGGGCTTCAGCTCCACCATCAAGGCTATCGGTCTGGCCAGCTCTGCTCCCGGTAACGGTGCTGCTGCTTCCGTCTCCGGCTGGGGCACCCAGTCCTCCGGCTCCAGCTCCATCCCCACCACCCTGCAGTACGTGAACGTGAACATCGTCGGCCAGTCGCAGTGCGCTTCCTCCAGCTACAGCTATGGTAGCCAGATCAAGTCCTCCATGATCTGCGCTGCTTCCAGCGGCAAGGATGCCTGCCAGGGTGATTCCGGCGGCCCATTGGTCTCCGGCGGTGTCCTCGTTGGTGTTGTGTCCTGGGGCTATGGCTGCGCCCTGTCCAACTACCCCGGAGTGTACGCCGATGTTGCTGCCCTCCGCTCGTGGGTGGTCAACGCCGCCAACTCGGTCTAAGAACTATTGCGAAATTAAAAAATATCTGAGCACACTTAATATCTTTTTTATTATATTCATCATACATCATTCTGGGAATGGTTTGGTTAAAGCTTTTCTTAAGGGATGTGGACGATCCTTCTTTCGAATTTGGAATGAAAGTTATCTAAATAAGTATTATCTATTCTTCGCTAGGAATAAGAGTACCTCTTAAGAATTTGCCCTTCAATGTTGCCGTAATGTTGATAGAGCTTTGAAGATTGGAAATCAATGATAACTTTAGTGATATATGTATATATATGTCATGTAAAGAGCTGTGTCATGGAACTTTGGGGATCAATCACTTCCATATCAGCTGCAAAAAGAAATGGTATATAATAATTTTCCGTTCAGCGCCATTCACAAGTAGAGTTCTTCTTTAAGCCTATTTAATCAGTCATATATAATAATCAGCTATGGTTTGTTGTTTTATATGAAAAAGAACTGATTGCTGCAAGATCCCTCACAAGTTGTCATTCGGTTCGGCTTTGTATTCATCTAAATGTGGAATATCTTGCGAAACTCTGATTCGAAAGGCTGATATTTTCCTTCCAAAGATAGTGATTGAAATGGGCTTTTCCCAAATGCCGAAACTCTGATTCCAGAGCAGGCATAGTCCTTTGAGAGATAGTGATTGAAATGGGATTTTCCGAAATACTGATACGGAAACTAAGTTTGTGGAGTGGCTGTCAGCATTGACATAATGCTAGCGCACCTTTCGATTTTGATAGCTCCATTTAGATGTTTTTTTAATAAAGCATATTTATTTACTGAGGCACATTTCTAATCAATGACCTTTGGAGCAACTGTTGTTTCGGAATTTTTGGTATAATCTTCGGTGTTCATTAGAAAATATGCTATAGATATGTATAGCTAGTTATTAAACTATATATTTTGTATAATATGTAAAAATAAGTCCTTAGATAAATATTTATTTGATTTAAGGACTAGTTTTCACATTTTTGAGTTATTCCAGCACTGTCAATAAGAATATGGTCATATACAGGATACCGGGTATTATTTAAATATAAATTAAATTGTAGTAGATCGCTAGGTAAATATATCACTGCACATAAGTCAAATATTTCAATATATCATAAGATTACATATGTATAGGTATATAAACTAAGTACAGGGTAAAATAGTGTCGCGGCCCGTGTGCCACGACTCACAAGTCACGACTTCTTTTGTTGTGTTTTTCGAGATGCAGGCGCCCGTACGATCGTACTCTTATCACAAGGTGGGAATATATAGTATGAGAACGGCACACCACACCCCTGAAACAGGGAACACCATCACACCATACAGCTTTATAAATGTATGCATATACATACATATGTACATCTATAGACTAAGCCATACTTGCTTATGAATTATATACTGGACTATTATCAGAGATAGCACCCAGATACATATGGGTAAGTCATTGGCCATTTTGCTGGTCCTAATTTAGCCCCTCGTACACGTGATAAAATTAATTGGAAACTCTGATTAATTTTCTTTGAGGAGATGGTAAGCACCTATAAAAGAGCCTGCCAGTTCTCAAACAACTCATTATATTCGCAATATGTTGAAGTTCGTGATCTTGTTGTCTGCTGTCGCCTGCGCCCTGGGAGGCACCATCCCAGAGGGTCTCCTGCCCCAGCTGGATGGCCGCATTGTTGGAGGCACCGCCACCACCATTAGCAGCTTCCCCTGGCAGATCTCCCTGCAGCGCAGTGGCTCCCACTCCTGCGGTGGCTCGGTCTACTCCGCCAGCATCGTTGTGACCGCTGCTCACTGCCTGCAGTCCGTGTCCGCCTCGACCCTCCAGGTCCGTGCAGGTTCCACCTACTGGAGCTCCGGCGGCACCGTCGTCAAGGTTGCATCCTTCAAGAACCACGAGGGCTACAACGCCAACACCATGGTCAACGACATCGCTGTCATCAGGCTGAGCTCTGCCCTGGGCCTCAGCTCCACCATCAAGGCTATCGGTCTGGCCAGTTCTGCTCCCGCTAACGGTGCTGCTGCTTCCGTCTCCGGATGGGGTACCCTGTCGTACGGCTCCAGCTCCATCCCCACCACCCTGCAGTACGTGAACGTGAACATCGTCAGCCAGTCGCAGTGCGCTTCCTCCACCTACGGTTATGGCAGTGAGATCAAGTCCACCATGATCTGCGCTTATTCCAGCGGCAAGGATGCCTGCCAGGGTGATTCCGGCGGCCCATTGGTCTCCGGCGGTGTCCTCGTTGGTGTTGTGTCCTGGGGCTATGGCTGCGCCTACGCCAACTACCCCGGTGTCTACGCCGATGTTGCTGCTCTCCGCTCCTGGGTGGTCAGCGCCGCCAGCTCGGTCTAAGAACTATTGCGAAATTAAATAACATGCTGAAGATTACTCTGTGCAAATGTATTTATTGGGGATCATTAGTTTCATTCACGTGTGGCAGAGTTCCACAAGCGACTCTTCGTCTGTGCATTATCCTTGTCCGCCTTGGTGACGGGACGCAGGTGAGCTGCATCTACAATGTCCCTGAAAGTATTGGGGTTGAATAGGATTCAAGTGGAGAAGGCAGAGGCAAACTTACTTGAACTCCTCGTAGCTCTGGGTGCTATGGACAGCCCGAAGCTTGGCGTCGTTCCGCAGCTGGTAGAGTTCACTCTCGCGGATTCCCTGTAGACAGCTCTCCCGCAACCGTCGCAGATCATCCTGCGTTATCTTCAAGTCGTCCATGCTGCTTCAGTCGTTTTCAAATATGGCAAAATCAATCGAGTTGTTTCCCCATATGTTTTCCGATTGTTGCCTGGGTAACAAACAGCCAACTCAGGTGGAGTGAGGGCTAAAATTTGTTGGGTATTTCATGTAGAGTGTAGTACGTATGTACATTACCCATCGAATTACGGAGCCAAAGAAACTCAGGAATCTCTCTATTGCGGTCGCCGATAAGCCGCTAATAGCCGGCGATTAATTTTACAACCCTTCGAAGAGCTCCGATATGATCGGGATCCATGCATTACTAGAGCAGTTTGTACTTGGCTTTCGACGTGTTCGCAGACATGACCGCCACTGGGATAGTTTTGCTGCTCGTCCTCCTCATTCTTGGAGTAACCACAGCCAACGATACCAAGGGACGCATTGTGGGCGGAGCCGAGCAGGCCATTCACAATGCGCCCTGGCAGGTGTCCATACAGATCAGTGCACGTCACGAATGCGGCGGCGTCATCTACAGCAAGGATATTATTATCACGGCGGGGCACTGCTTGGACGGGAAATCCGTTACTCTGATGAAGGTGCGCGTGGGTGCCGAACACCACAACTACGGCGGAACTTTGGTACCTGTAGCGGCCTACAAGGTACACGAGAAGTTCGACTTGAAATATCTCCACTACGATATTGCCGTGATGCGTCTGTCCGCACCTCTCAGCTTCGGCCTCTCCATAAAGGCCATCAATTTGGCCAGAGTAAGTCCCTCAGGCGGAACAAATGCCACCGTTAGCGGTTGGGGCTACACAGAGCAGGACGGTAGCTACGCCGGCAACCTCCAGACGGTCCAGCTGCAGATCATCGAGCGAGGACAATGCGCCTCCACCACTTATGGCTACGGCTGGGACTATGTTGGGGAGGAAACGATCTGCGCCGCCTACGCTGAAAGGGATGCCTGCACGGGAGACTCTGGTGGTCCACTGGTAGCGAACCACTTGCTGGTGGGCATCGTCTCCTGGGGATACAAGTGTGCGCTTGATAACTACCCGGGTGTGTATGCAGATGTGGCCGTTCTAAGACCTTGGATAGTTAACGCAGCAAATGCAATTTAAATAGTTATGGAAGAAAAATAAAGCACACTTCTTCACATTTTACAAAAGTTTTCGACTATAATAGCTCCTCCTCTTCTGTAAGTCGCCCCACAGGTGGAATCGAACCACTTCGACGCTAATCGACTACGGATTTGAAGTCCGCACCCCGGACCACCGAAGCTCAGTGAGGCAACATTGCAGCCCGAGCTGCCGCTTTTATATGCCGATTGTCCCGAAAAAGCACTTGGGAATTACAAGGGCATTGGTCACTTTTCCTACATCTTCCAATCTACCCAGATTTCCATTATCTATTTAGATATCTAGATAAGGCTAGCTACACAAGTGATTCAGAAGAGAATGATATAGCTATCCTACGAGTAAATGCAGATCGATGATAAAACAAAATACTTAAAATAGCTTATCCTAATATTGAGTTGGGTTTTACAAGCCGCCATTATCAGAATATTTACAAAAGGAAAAACTTTATTTAAAGCATGAAATTAGCAAAACATTGAAATTTATTTGGAATGCAGTAGCAAAAATATAAGGATTGTGTTAACTTAAATCACTTACAAAGACGATTTCAATACCATTTGGATTTGAAGAATTTCAACGAAAGATCAAAGTAATTATTTAGTAGAATAGGGAAGACCTCACTTGCGGGGCTGTTGAATGTGATTCTGAGTCTTCTGCTGAACAGACATTGGGGGCTTAGGCAAGTGTGCCACCTGGGCAGAAGCTGGCGTAAAGTCCGTGTGTCCCTTCACGGGAGCACCGCTCACCACAGCCGAGTTCACGCTAACGGGTTGCTGTAATTACCATGTGCAATGAATTGAATAATATATACAGTTTCCCCATATAGTGGTCGCGCTTACTGTCAGACCAGTGCAATCCTCGGCATCCTTGGGGGCACGCTCCGATGCAGTGGGCTTGTGCTGGACAATACGCATGCCGCCTGCCTTCACTGAAAGTCAAAAGAAACATTATAGAAGAATCGAAATGCACATGACGTCAGCAGAATGTAAAAAATATGTGAGTTTGGACAGCACCGTCGCAATAACTAAAGCTCCGCAAGAGTGTGCGTGAGTACCGCTTGCTGAGTGCATGTGTGGGACAGTGTTGCTTCGTTTTCTTATTGCTTATCAGCATCTGCCGAAGCAGGCTAAGATACTGATAAGGCAATAGATATTGGTGGCTATTGTTGTGAATTGGGTGCACAATCAATTGCCAGCGGAGCACCTCCATAGCCATTTTAATACTTTTTACCTCCTACACATTCACACACAAGCACACAAATACATCAAAGCGCATGGAGAATACCTATGCAATTACACTTACAAGCAGGTGGGTGTCCAGCCACGAGATTGGGTTGTTCATCAGACATTTTCAGTAGGTTATAAGCTGGAATGCACCAATATTTAAATAAATTACTACCATTAATCAGAAAAACAGAATTTCCGACCTACCTCTTCTAAATGCGCGGTTGCGGTTTGCGGCGTAATAAGCTTTTGTTTAACACGTACAACGATACAGTGTTGCAATTTTAGCCTATTTAAGGCTAGATCTAGCTTATTTGAAAACGGAAAAGCTTGAAAAATTATGAAAAAGCTTATAGCCTTAAATCTAGCCTTTTTTAATTTCACTCTATATCAATGTGTTTTTTTTATTTTTAGCCTATTTTTTTCCTGTTTTTACAATTTTTAGCTTGTGTTTTTGTGAAATCTAGCTTATTTTGACGCTCAAAATCTGGCAGCCCTGCAATATACTGACGAATTCAATTTCCATTATACTAATTACTCCAATTTGATATTCCATGGAATATTACTAGCTAGATAGAACCCACAGCCCTGCCCACATAATTTTATCCAATTCATGAAACTATTTTCTACTTGACTGGTTTATTTTAAATATTTGCTTTTATTGGATTTTGCCTAAAAAAGGGCTTAGCGAAAGAGGTTTCAAACAAAAAAGTGTAAGAGAGTAATCGTTCCTATTGCTCAATTTTGATAATCCGTTGGCATGAGGCTAGATTGGCATGTTTTTAGTCCTTGCTTTTATTGTATTTCGACTAAAACAAGGTTTAAACAAAAAAGTTCAGCAAAAAACAGTCGCAGTGTTGTCACATCAATTTTGCTAGTATTTAAAGACCTGTTGCTTATCTACCGGAGTGTGGCCATGTGTACCCTATACAAACTGTTTTAAAAAAGTAATTAATATGTATATTCTGATCTGATACTCATTATTGGTCTCTGTAAAAAGACTGTATTCTTCATTCATTAGATCATGGGATGGCAAACATTTCCGCTATTCTATACAGTATACTATATGGTTAGTGCTAAAACGTAATGGTGTTATGACATTCAACTTTCCCAACTTTGCTACGAAGAGAGGGAGATGGCATGAGAGACAAAACGCAAGAGTGTCTTCATAGCCGTCTCAGACTATTTCACTATTTGTGAAAAAATAATATTTTCCAACACAAGCAGCCAGTCGGCAAAATGGGATCTACATGTATAGAAAATTATAATATCTGCCGCAGCGATGCTCTCAGCTCAACTGGAAAGCCTATATCTCTAGCTCTCACTGCATGCTCTTCCCATAAGTCTAATGTCATACGATATGAGCAAATTTAAGTGTCATATAGCCATAAACAAAGCACGCAGGGCTGCATTGCAAATTTTTTTGGACAGCATACTCATGCAGACACTGCAGTTTTTATAAAGAATTTCGTCAAAATCACCAAGTAGTGAAATAAACATTGAAAATCAGAACATTACAGGTAGTTAACTGTCAATATGAAAGACACAAAGGTGAGTTTTTACTTTTAATAGATGCTGCATTCCACAGTTACATCATGTCACCGGCTGCAATTGAACTTCGGCTGATGTGGTCGTTTGTGCTACTTTTTCTGTCGCTAATGAAAACGACCACCATCGAATCATTACAGCCATTCCCGGTTCTCAAGAATGACAACCTCCTGCGGGCCGCTCGCGGCGAAGTCGTCGACCGGGTTCCCGTCTGGGTAATGCGTCAGGCCGGTCGCTATCTTCCCGAATTCCAGGAACTCCGCAAGCAGCACGACTTCTTCACCGTGTGCCGCACCCCAGAGCTGGCCTGTGAGGTGACCATGCAGCCGTTGCGGCGCTTCGATCTGGATGCCTCCATTATATTCTCGGATATACTGGTTATTCCACAAGCCCTTGGCTTGACCGTAGAAATGCACGCCGGCGTGGGTCCGGTGCTGCCCCAGCCAATAAACACACCAGAGGACCTTAAGCGGTTGACTCCAGATGGCGCATTGTCCCGACTGACCTACGTGGGAGATGCCATCACTATGATGCGACACAAGTTGGAAGGCCGAGTGCCCCTCATTGGTTTTACTGGAGCACCCTGGACGCTTATGGGCTACATGATCGAAGGCGGCGGCAGCAAGACTATGTCCAAGGCCAAGGCTTGGCTCTCGGATCACCCGGAGGACACTAAACTGTTTCTCAACCTGCTTACGGACGCAATTGTGGACTACTTGGAGATGCAAGTAAAGGCTGGAGCTCAAATGCTGCAAGTCTTTGAGTCGTCTGCCGAGCACTTGACCAAGGAGGACTTCTTGATATGGGCTGTGCCCTATTTGCGTAGGATACGCGATGAGCTTGTGGACCGGCTGACCAAAAAAGCAGTCCCATTGGTTCCGATTGTAAGTAATATCGACGCAACTTTTAATACAATTCATCTGAGCTCTTCTCCGCAGACGCTGTTCGCCAAGGGCGCTGGACACTCGCTGAAAGAGCAAAGCGAACTGGGCTACGATGTAATTGGACTGGACTGGACTGTAGATCCCATTGAGGCACGTGCCCTAGTGGGACCGAACATAACGCTGCAGGGTAATTTGGATCCACAGGACATGTACCGTGATGCCGACGAGCTGCGGGCCTTGACCACTGAAATGGTTCACAAATTTGGCAAATCGCGTTATATTGCCAATCTGGGTCATGGGATAACGCCTCAAACTCCCATCACCAGCATGGATGTACTGGTGGAGGCGGTCCACAAGGCATTGTAGGTGATTTTTATTAGCAATTATGCCTTTTTTATCGAATGCAATAAAGACAAGTACGCCTTTGGGTTAGGGTTAGATCATTGGAATGGTATACTGTGGTTTTCTTGTTTCTGTTCCTGTACCAGTTTGTCGTATATCATGAGCGTGCTGCCGCAGCAGATTAGGAACGTTCCCAGGATAACTTCTGCAATATTAAAGTCATATTTAAATACATATGCTCAAACTCCCCAACTGTTCTGTTTACTTACTCTTTCCAGGCAACTTTTCCCCCAGTGCATAACCAGTTATTGCGGTAAAAGCAAAACTGAGAGAATTGGCGACTGGAACCGCAACTGTGATGCTGGCACTTTGCAATGTCCACACATACAAAGCACTACCGCACTGATTGAGTCCAAATGGAATCCAGTACCGCCAACGGGATCCAACTGTACATACTTCCAGTAACAAATTTCTCCACTTGGAGCCCGTGTCCTTGACAGACTCGATGCCCTGACTGCCAAGGCGGATAAATGGGTTAGTCACACCCCAAAGCAGTCCCACTGCAAGCAATTGCACTGAACAAGACAAACAACGATTATAATTTAAACACTTAAATATTTCAGTAATTTACCAGCGGTTTCTAGCATTTTGTATTGTTTACATGGAATCAGCTGTTGTAAGAGTTGCTTTTTTGTCTAAGCAACCCTGAGTATTTCTGTAGCCCTGGAAGAGATTTTGACATTTGCGACTCCCTGGCATTTTGACAATTCTTTTACGTCAGCTTTCATTTCCGGATAGGTGGGTTTTAGGCAATTTTCTTCCAATTTAATCAAAAAACATCCGAATATACGCCAAAACAAATGCCGCTAAACGACCGACATTCAAATATGAACCTGCAATGCTATCGGCGAAAAGTAAAATGTTGCCAAAATCAAGATGTTTTGTGTGTAAATTGGGTATCTGAATATTGCCTTGTCTTGGCTTGATTGTTTATGAATAAATATTCTTCAATATTATTAAACCGCCTTCTCTATCATTTTAGGATATTGAATAGCAGTGCTGCGGCCTAATCAGGAACAATGACTAAGACCAAGGGCGAGAAAATCAACAAATCGGCGATCAACGAAGTTGTGACCCGCGAGTGCACTATTCACTTGGCGAAGCGTGTCCACAACATTGGCTTCAAGAAGCGTGCGCCGCGTGCCATCAAGGAGATCCGCAAGTTTGCCGAGCGGGAGATGGGAACCACTGACGTCAGGATCGACACCCGTCTCAACAAGCACATCTGGTCGAAGGGTATCCGGTAAGTGGTGCATCCATTGCAATGGGAGAACGCATTCTAAAACTTTGAATCGCTTTTAGATCCACTCCATTCCGCGTGCGTGTGCGTCTGGCGCGTCGTCGCAACGATGATGAGGATTCTCCCAACAAACTGTACACCTACGTGACCTATGTGCCGGTGTCCACATTCAAGAATTTGCAAACGGAGAACGTTGAGTCCAGCGACGACTAAGCAAAGTAATTGAAAGCCCAAAATACGGTTAATAAAAAGTAAATTTTTATTTAGAAAAAAAAAACGAAACGAGTGTTAACAAAATGTGACGAAACTGTGATTTCAAAGTGGAGTAATCTGCGGCAGCACCAAGTAGACGGAGTTGCTTGTGGCAACTGCTAAGAAGTGAAGTTGTTTGTGGGGAAGCTGCAACACCTCCAGCGACTGCACTTCTGGCAAGGCGCTGTCGCCAAGGATTTTCTGGAATCCCGCTGCGCCTTGATGCTGGTAGATTGTCAGCGGCTGCTCGGGCAAGGCATTGGACACGCAGAGCAGCAGGTCCTCCGATTCAGGCAGATGCATGAAGCGCATTTCATGCGGCTGATGTGAATCTCGCAGCTCCAGAACTTGGTCCAGCTGAAAGTCGCTCATGTCCTCGCTGTTAAAGCTGTGAAACGATTTTGAAATATTTTAGTCAAGTTTTGAGTGCAGAATGGACCAAGACCTGCCTGTAAATCATAATGTCTGCTGCCGGCGACGACGTGAGAAAAGCCACATAGCTGCTCTGCATGCCCACGCCACGCCGGATCAGCGCCATTTGCTCTGCCTGTATGTCCAGCAGGTGACGGATTAAAGTGTGTTTTCGCTTTTCACTAATTTTCCAAAGTTCCACGGCTTTTGAAGTTAGCAGCAAAATCGGAGATTCGTTGGTGGCTGCCACGGCCAGCAGCTGTTTTGCATCCCACCTGTCCACAACGGACAGCCAGCTGGTGCCATTTTTATCGAGGCATTTGACGATTAGTTCGTTGACTCCCTGCACTGCCTGGCACTGAATCGTTCCTAGGTTAAACTCCAGTTTTTTGTTGGTCACCAATGAATCCTCGCTAATTATACCAAAATTCGTATTGTTGTTGGGCTGTAACAGTGTTGATAAGTCTGAAACAAAAAATTATGTTTGAAGTTGTATGTCGACTGTGGCACACACTTTATTTCCATGGTAGCGCTTCATGTTGATATACATAATTTATTATTATTATTTAATTGCGCCCTTAGTCGATTCTTTCCAATTCCTTAGAGTCTTTAAGAAATTCTTTCTGTAGCTGCACATAATCAAAGAACTTAGAGACAATCGGAAGAAAAAGTCATAGAGCTTCTTCAAGTATAGGGTATTTCAAAACAAAATTGATAACGCTGACGGAGAGTGAGGTTTGGGCCGACGAGCACTTAAATAGAAGCAGCAAAAGAGCAACTGCAGTTGCACATCGACAGTTGATAGACACAGAAGCCTGAAAGTCGCCCCTTGTTAGAAAACAGCCAAAATTTATTGGCGAAAATGTACAAGGCGCAATACCTTTGGCTCTTTGGCTTGGTCCTAATATCAAGATCGGCCACCGAGCGTACCACGCCCAAAATAAACTTCACTACGGTGGTTGGGTGAGCAGAGGCGCATGCCGATGGAATAACAACAAATTACTAATATCTCACTACCCCTTCACAGCTTAAAGACCACTCCTGCGATGCGCAGTTCCTCTGCTTCCTCTCTAGGTGGCTCACTGCCTATGGTTATAAATACATGGAACTTCACAGATGCCAATTTTCTGGCCTGGCGGATTCTGAATGTAACTCAGGGTGGTCTTCGCCAGACGCGTAATGCCGTAGTGGAGGGATGTACCAGGTGCGAGCAGCAACAGTGCGACCGAACTGTTGGCTATGGTGGTTCTCCCGATGAGTTGGGGGAGACAACGTTGGATGCAATGATCATGGATGGCAGCAGCATGGATGTGGGGGCTGTAGCAGGCCTGAGAGGCATCAAGGATGCCATTAGAGTGGCTCGGCATGTTCTGGAGCACACAAAGCACTCTATACTGGTAGGTGATTTAGCCTCTCAATTCGCCCAGGCTATGGGATTTCGTTCCGAATCCCTGGCTACGCCTGAATCAAAGGCTATGTGGATGGAATGGACAGCGGCAAATTGTCAGCCAAATTTCTGGAGGAATGTTCATCCAGATCCATCCATCTCCTGCGGTCCGTACAAACCCAAAGCCACGCCGCTAACTCGCTGGAAGGAAGACCGTGCGCGCACAGAGTACTCGATTGGGCACCTGAATCATGACACGATTGGCATGATAGCCATTGATGCTGCAAATAACATCCATGCTGGGACCTCAAGCAATGGAGCTCGCCATAAGATCCCTGGACGAGTTGGAGATTCGCCAATACCCGGGGCTGGCGCGTATGCGGACAATGAGGTCGGCGCTGCCGTGGCTACCGGAGATGGCGATATTATGATGCGTTTCCTGCCCACTCTTCTGGCTGTGGAAGCCATGCGGGCGGGCAAGAAGCCGGCGGAGGCAGCAGAGGTAGGCATTCGACGGATCAGTAAGCATTACAAGGACTTCTCGGGAGCGGTCATCGCTGTCGATCGCTTGGGCCAATATGGGGCAGCCTGCTATGGCATGACCGAGTTTCCATTTGTGGTCAGCAACCCATCCAAGACAGATATACCGTCGCGCCAGGAGAGTGTCAAGTGTATAACGGGCAAGGAGGCTGTGAACGTGGTTTGATTGTAATTGGACATTGAATTTTTGAACATGATCGGAACAACTACTCACTGCAGACGATATAAATAAATATATTTCTACAAGATTGGATAGTCTTAGTACTCTTTTTTTGGAGATTGTTTAAAAAACAAGGTTTAATAAAAATAACCACTAAATTCATTTTTACATGGTAACTACACATTTGCTACATGAATTAGTTCCAAGTGTTGCAAAGTGTTCGATTACTGTCTTATTTGGTATTTCACAGATTACGGTATTTTTCAAAAATAATCGTTTTGCTGTCTTCAAATCGGTTAAGACTGTCTTTTTCGCTCTCTTTGAATCGGCAGCAACAATGAGACTCATTCCAGATACAATTATGTTGCCCATTCCAGACACACTGCTTCAAACTTGACTTTCAAAAAATTCCCTTGCATTGCCAGTGCATTGCCTCAGGTATTTTTCTTAGGGCCAGACGGTATATTTGATCGATAAGCCCGCGGTCACACTGGTCTGCATGCAGCTAGGGGTTTTTTTTGGTATTCTGACGCGCTGTGGTCACATATTCCGCCAAATCGGCGTCTGCATACAGAAGAAGAAAAAAGTGCAAAAAAAAAGCGGCGTCGAGCAGATTTTATTTCTAATATCGAAATATTTAAAAGCCTTCAAAATTAATAAAAACGCGCAATCAGCTGGCCGCAAGTCGTTGACTAAAATGGCTATACAACTTGATAAAATTCTGGCAGACATTGCCAAGGAGAAAGCGTTACATCCAAACAATGGCGGAGCTACCAAACAGGAGCAAGAAGACGCTTGGGGCAGGATTGGGCGGCTCAACAAGCTTTCTGTGCACGAGTCGCGCTCCATTTTTATTGTGCTGCAGAAGAAGTACGAGCAGGAGAAGATCAAGGGAAATTCGACGTGGAAGCTATTCAATGTGATGCACCAAATACATCAGGAACCCAAAGCGGCCGAGAAAGAAGAAGAGTGAGTTAGAGGAATGCTGAAAATGGCGGGTTAGGTAATATTTCGTTTTGCCTTTAGTGACCAAATGCCCATGGACGATGTGGAGGAGTATGAGATGCTGGAAGTGCAGGAGCAAGAGGAGGACGACGAATCTTCCGCTCATCATCCGACCAACTCCACTGGCTCTGCTTCTTCAGATGGGGAAAGCCCAGGCAAATCGCATAGCACCGGCTCGCCGGAGAAGGATGAAAAGGTGTACTCAAAGACTATAATTGACACACCGCGTCCGGCTTTCGAAGAGAAAAAGTTGCTCAACACAATGGCCAATAACACTCCAAGGGCCACGACAAACAATCCCGTTTCTATGGCCGCCGCAGTATTGCAGAAAAAGGGAATTACCGTGAAGAAGACTCCCAGTTCGACTGGAGCTGCACTGAAATCGGCGCCGACCCAGCCACAGAGTAACAGCAACAGAGCAACGTCATCGTCGCGCACCACCATCCAGTTGCCAGACTCTTTGAAGCGAAAGCTGTCGGAGGAGTATTCAGGATTATCGCAGAAGAAGGTGGCGAAGACCCAGAGCACAAAACAGACCGCTAACACGGTGGCTGCTGCTTTAGCCGCTGCCAGCGTCCCCGATCCCACAGTCACTTCAAACGTCGTCCACACAACCACTGCTCAGCTTATGCAGGTAAAGAAGGAACGGGAAAACAGCCACTCGCCACCACCCGGCATCAACATCATCACCGTGCCGGCGTCACAACAGATCAACGGCGCTGGTCCAACATCCTCGACAGCTGCCACCGTTGCCTCCACTTCAGTGGCCTCCACCAACGGCTACTCGCCACACATCGAAGAACTGGACTTCAAGAACGACATTATCTTTGATTCAAAGCTAAACACAAACTCCAACGCCCCAGAAATTATCAACTTGGGTAACTTTGACCAGTCGCTGCCGCCGACATTTTTCAAGAATTTGTGCAACTCTTCGCGCCACGAGGCCCTTGGATTATATGTTGCCAATGTGATGAACCGAATCTCGACACGTGCCGCCGCCAAACTAGAGTTGGGTATCTTGCGCACCATTCTCGATGTTCAGAGTGACGAGCTGGACCAGTAGTTCCAGATAATATGAGTAATATATGACCTATTTAAGTCAACTTAATTATTAGAAGTACTAGAAGGTATTAATGTAGGGCGGATTCCCTACTTCCGTATAATTTCTATTTCTATTTGGAGCCTGCGTTGAGGTGATGCGTGAAATCACTTCTACAAGGGCATTTCCAGCCATTACCCTCGATATTGAGTTGGAAATTGGTTTCATCCTTCAAAGTCGCTTCAATTGGATATTTTAAAATAATTTAAAACTTATGTTTACCCGCAGTACGATTTTATGACCCCATGTTCCACTTCATTTTCAAATAAGTTTATACTCTAATAAAAATACATATGGGACTCACTTGAAATGTTCTTGTGCCTGAACATGTGCATTTCTGGTTGCCACGAGTAGTAGTCCACCTGGTTCGGACCTTGCCGTATGGCCAGAAAATCGTCATTTCCCATCGTCAATGTTTCCATGTCGGAAACTCCTTTATGGGGCAGCTGCTGCAGCACGGCAAAGTTCTCCAACACTTTTGGAGGCTCTGAGAAGTAGACGCAATCTATTTTGAATCCACCTTTGGCGAGAGTTTACTGCACTCACCCTCCAGTCGGTGCTGCACTGCAGCTACATTTTGTTGCAGCTGCTGCCAATCCTCCAACGCATTCCTATCCACTCCCCGCTTAGACTTATAGCCAGGTTCCGAGTTTCCATTGCCAGTGACCACCTCGTAGTTGTCCACGGTCAGCGGCTGAGCGAAGATCAACTGGCTCTTCACATGGAGATTAGGTCGGTTGCTCGCTTTGTTCTCCAGCAACTCGTTTACGGCCAGACCATTGACATCATCTACCCAGAGGCTCTCAATGTTATTGCTGAGGATCTGCTGCTGTTCGGGCAGACTGTTGTCCACCAGTAGTGATCCTGGCACGTACTGATCCTTGTCTCGCAGCAACAGTTTGTCTGGTTGCCAGAGGATGCCATTCACAGGTCCTTCGACGCTAAGGTCGTTGTATAGGTTGATGTTCTCCAGGCTAGTGGTACCCGCAATGCTGTGATTTCCGTAAATATAAACCGCTTCATTAATCCAAGTCGCTATGGAAATATTGGCTACAAGGCTTGTGGGACTAGCATAAAGGCGACTTATGGTGGCCTTTTCAATGGTTTTCAGGGCATCTATGGTCGTTGTTTGGGTGCTGACATTATTTTCGCTTAGACGTAGAACGTCGTCAACTAAATTTAGCTGATTTATTAGCACATTATTTAGATTGCCTTCTACATAGGCCTCCGGTAGGGTCCAATGAGCAGTTATCTTATGCACTCCGGCTGTTTTTAGTGTGTTTGCCACAAAATCATCGAAATCCAGCGAGAAGTTGCTGAAAGAATGAGTAAAATTTGAAAATATGCAATTCGCGCCGATAGTAGTACTCGTGAGTACTCGCGAAACTATCAATAGTCGTTTCATTACGTTCGCACTACGTGCTATGCTTTGACCTTTTTTGTTTAAACCATATTTTATAAACAATGCAATAAGGGGAGTACTTCAAATTTCCAACACATGTAGAAAATTAATGAATTAATCGGATAAACTGATGTGCTTAGGGCTGAGTGAGTTAGCTAGCTGGTAATATTTAACATAAAATATGGAATCGTGGAATATGATTTCTTTTCATACACAGAGAGAGATTAACCCATTGCCGCAAATTATGAAACTTATAGATATCGATAGAACTTCGCAATATATCATGGTCTTTTTTTAAGCAAAGATTAAGGATGTAATGGAGCTACAAGTATAATTATTATTATTAATATTATCCCTACTATTTTCTGCGGTTTAACTCAAATTGTGTTCCTGCGTAAATAAAGGGGGCTCAAGTGGGCTAAGGGTCGACCGTATATGCTATCGATAGTCCGCGGCCACACTGTTCGCCAACAACAAAAAACGTACACTCACTCTATACAAAAAATAATAATAATAATAAATAAATTGTATAAAAAAAACGTTCCAGCGATTGCTAAGAACCGCTGTAGAGTGTCTTCGTCCCAATAAAATGCCTTTCAGCCCTTTTGTTTGCTAGTCGCGAAGTTAATGAATCATTCTTGAAAACTGCCTGACCGGACTATTAAAAGTGCATTTAAACCAAACCAAATCAGCAGCACACGAGGTAATTAAATGCACTCCACTCTGTATACCCCATCTGCAGCCATTTGCAAACGTGTACAGAAATTTCACCTGCTGTACACAGCACACAGCTGATTTTTCTGGGAAATAGATGATACGGCCAGGCCAGTGCTGCTCAAACTGTGGGTTTGAAAGCGCGTAAACAATTGAAAAGTGAAACTTGATACCCGAAACCGTTTTAAACAAAATGGTAACACGTACCCTATGCCCTCAACAAGTGCGTCGCTTCCATTACTGACGCTGCCACGTAGCACTACCACGCGTGCTGTCAGAGGCTGTGCGAAAGTGACGTCATGCTTGAAGCCCAATGGAGTGCTGACCGGTTGGCCGCGCGTCCGACTGAAGTAGTTCCGCTTGATGTGTTCCACCTGGAAGCCATTGATGGGGCCCTGCAAGATGGTCATAAATGTGTGATTGCTTGGGAGTTAGTTAGGGTTGGGATATCCATCCCATGTCGGATGCTGATACTTACAAGGAAGTCCAGAAGACCCTCGTAAGCGGTGGAGGCAAACTCCAGCCTCTGCTCTCTTCCACCCAGCTCAATTCTCTCACTGTCAAGCCAGACTTGATCCAACAGCTGCTGCAGCTTGTGGCCGTTCAGATAATTGTAGGTGGGCGGCCGCTCGAACTTTACACTCTCCGCGTGGAAGGTGTCATGTTGCTCCCCGTTCAGGTACTGGCTCAGCGCCTGCAGATGATAGCCATTCAGTCTGGTTACGTTGCAGAGCTCTGCCACCTCCAGGCTACCATTGATGGTAACAGGTGCCGTCATGGAGCCTCCGGCATCTGTGTACAGCATGTCCTCGGGGACGCGTAATCCGTTTACGCGGCCAACCATCAGCTCCGATTGCAATACAATGGGATTCTCTGTCAGGTAATGCTTCTCATGAAGGTTTGCAGTCACAAAATTTGATTTTCAATTAAATTTTCTTACCAAATCGCACTGATTGCAGATGCTCCGACGCATTCAGCCTGTAGCTACGGCTCACCAGCTCTTCCAGGGTGTAATTGTTCAACTTTCCCTGGAGCTGCACACCCTTGCTGCTCTCCAGCGCGGCCAGCACTTGCGGAGCCGTGAAATTTTGGTCGCCGCTGGCCTCCAGCCAGCTGCCCCCGAAATGTGCGGCTTGGATGCCATTCAGGGAGTGGCCAAAGCTCAGACTGCTTATGTTTACCGCATGCCTGAAGCTGAAGTCGCCCACATACTTGATGTTGCCCGCCAGCTGCTGAAGTTGCTGCTCCAACTGGGCCACATTGACTTGGTTAATGCTGCCCTTGAGCCACAAGTTTCGGGCACGAATGCTGCCATTGAAATTGGCCGGCAGTTTCCAGCCGTCCAAAGATTGACTACCGTGTGAGTAGATGGACCCCAGTGGCTGGCTAAACAGCAGTCCATTCATATGCAATTCTTCGAGGTTCACCTCCTCCCCATCCGCCTGGTCCACATACAGCGTGCTATTTGAGTGCTGATCCTTGCTTACCTGCAAATAGTGGTCCAATTCCAAGCCATTCATTACAAGCTGCTTCGCCTTAACTTCTTCCAACTCCAATCCCTGTAACTGAACCGCGATCGGGATAGTCTGGCTGCCACTTTTAGTGAGCAGCACTTCCGGCAGCTTCTGCACATCAATGCCATTGAGCCACCCGACTTCACCGAAGCCCTCGCTAATCTCTAGCCCCTGAGGCAATGTCTTGCTGCCCTCCACCACCTGCTCTGCATCCACATTTAACTTGACCAGTTTCTGCAGGTCCTCAGCATTTATGAAACTCAGTTCTGTGTTGTTGGCCACGAGAGGTTGCTCAAACTTCACATTCACATCCTGGAGAGTCTGGTCCAGCCGCAGACCTTGCCTCAAAGCCTCTGCAGCAGACCTCTGTGTTGGTTCCTCCAGCAAATCCTCCACCTGCAGCAGCCGTCCAATAGTCACATCGCCATCAATTACAAAGTCCCCTTGGAGTTGGAGCGATTGATGGGTTATCTTAACAGGCGACATGGCCCGAAGCTCTGCGCCCACCAGCTGGCCCTAAAGGGAAACCCACACGAAATGATTTTATTTTACATCGGACAAAGCGACGATCACTCACCGCAATGGTAATGGGTTCCATAACGCGAAGATTCTCTAGCCTCTTGGATCCCTCGATCACCTGGGTGTGATTGGCTTCGCGGAGCAGCAGGTCGAAGCGCTGGCGGTCCACGTGGATGTGATTGAGTCGTTGATTGATGAGCAAGCGATTCACTTGTATGGGCTGGGAGAACTGCACATCCTGCTGGACAATAAAGTCGCCGCCATCCACCGGCACGAGGTGGCCCAGGGAGTGGTCGTTGATCTCGTTGCTGTTTACCACCACAGCCTCCGCACTGAGATGCGTGATGTCAGCGGAGGACTTGACGAACTGCACGTCCACGTTGTTCCGTTTGATAGTCTGCTCCAGCAGCTGTGTCCAGTTGAGGCCGTTGAGATTTCCGCCGAGCTGAAGGTCCTGCACCGAGAGCTCCTGCAAGTAGGGTTTGTTCTGCTCCCTGGCCGGCTCCTTGTATTCCTCGCTGACATACACCTTCTTGGCAGTCACCGATTCGTATACAGGCTGCTTCGTATCCAAGCCGTTGATATTGCTGGCTTGCATGCTGCCCTCGACCACCAGGGTGTCTACAGTAATCTCATCGAATTCGTGCTGTTCGGCTGCTCGTTTCCGGGGCTGTCGGGTGCGTGCTGCTGTGGCATCCTGCTCGATCACATCCAAGGCCTGCTTGGCATACTGCAAGGCATCCCAGTAGTTGGAGGTCAGCTTCATATGCTCATCTACAAGCTGGATTACAAGAGATGGATGTACAAGGATGCTTTGGCTATGCCCCTGATCGTTTACTCACCGATTTCGCTTTGACCCGCTTGATGAGGGATCGCAGCATCATCTCCGCTCGCTGCTTCACTCTTTGCTGTGTGTTTTTTTAGAGCATTATTGACCTGCATATTACTTTGGCTGGTCCACTCACCTGCAATCCCTGCAGCAGCTGCTCCACGTTGGTCTCCTCCAACCGCTTTTGCTGCTCCCGGGCCCAGTCGATGATCTGCTGGCGAAGGATGTTGGCATGCTCGTCCTGCTTGTAGAGCGGTTGGAAAATGTTCGTCTCATTGGCGGCCATATTCTCGTTGGCAATCACTGAAAGAACACAGAACACTGTAAGCGGGGGAATCATTAGCACGTGCGAGGACTTGCCTAGGTAGCTCTGCTGTTGCTCCTCGTAGCTGCGCATGCGGGCCACTCCCCGACTCAAGGCACCTTCGGTGAACTGCACCTTGGACTCTTCGAATTTCCAGTCGTTTAGGTTGTAGATCTTCACATCCTGCTTGCTGCAGGCGACCAGAAGCAGAAACTTCTCCGATATGGAGTGCTGAGGAATATAATTTCCTGTGTGAATCTGCGGGGAACTAATTTAAAAGATATTCAGCTACCTGGACGGGCAGGAAGCGTTCCAGGGCATAGAAACTCAGTCGCTGGTAGGGCACGAACTGACCCTTCTCGTAGACATAGATGACGGTATCGGCCTCGCCCGCTGCGGCACTCGATCCTCCGATCGTGTTGCCCAGAATAAGAAAGTGCCTGCGACTCACTTCGTTCACCGGGAGACTGAAGTACTTCACGTCCACGGCCCCGTTGCTGCGCAGTCGCTGAAAGAGTTGGAACCGGCGATTCTTTGGATTGTACTTGTAGATGTCCGAGCGGGTGGCAGTGCGTCCCTGGGCATTCGCGTAGTTGGCCACGGCTACATAGTCGGCATAGTCTATGCCAAAAGCCTCCATCCTGCGGGCATTGCTGCAGGGGATCGCTCCTAGGCGCTGGAACGTCCCGCCCGTCCATTTGAAGTAGGGACAGTCCTGCTGCACAGGGGCTTGGCCCTCCATCGAGTCGAAGGCCTGCAGCAGCGTCAGTTCTTGGCTGCTGATCCTCAAGTACATCCCCCGCAGCCGCAGACCGCCAAAGTACTGCACGGCCCGTATACCCGTCTCGGGGGACAGCTCATAGATGGGAGAGCCCTCGCGGGCCAGCTGCACTGGCTCCGTGAGATTATAGCTGAGTGCCACGTAGCCGCGTCCCGCATGGGCCAGGCAATCCAAAGCCACAGCCTTGGGCGTTGGTAGCTCCAGCAGCAACTCGTAGCTCTGTTCCGCCGGACGCCAGGCGTATACGGCAAAGTGACGCAGTCCAGCCGCATCCTTGTGCAGAGCCGAAGCGTATTTCACTGCCGGGAGCTGTAGAATGCAAATGTCGAGGGGAAACAGAACTGGCACGGACGCTACACGGGTCAGACCATCGAAGCTGAAGCTGGCTAGAAATAAGAATACAATACAATACAGTACTTCTATCTCTGGGTTCTAGACTGCCGCAGACTAAACCAAACGATTTCCCCTGATTCTCCGTCAGCCATGGCCGAGGAAGAGCTGCAAACCTATCGCCGCTGCATTGGACAGCAGCTGGAGGAGCTGGAGATGCTCAGCTCGATATATTGCGGACCCGGCGAGCTGCAGATGCTCGATGCTGGCGTCGTGGCCGATTTCAACGAGTTCCTCGGGGCAGCCACACCTCGAAACATCCTTCCCTCGCATCTGGAGTACATAGTGAAGTTGAGTATTAACGCCAATCAGCGACAGGATGTGCGCATAGAACTGCCCCACTTGTATCCAGTGCTGGAGCAGCCTCGCGTCAGTGTACACAGCCCCCTGCTAGGCAAGGCCAAGGAGCAGCATCTGAAGATCGAGATAGAGGGATATCTGAGCGAGAGGAGGGAGGAGGAGCCAGAGCCGTACATCTTTCAACTCCTCAGTTGGCTGCAGGAGAAGATAGAGACACTGCTCCAACGCCCGGCCAGCGAGTTCGAGCAGCCACAACTGAAACCGCCGGAACCGCCACAGACAGCTACCCATCTGGAGCGGCTGTGGATCTACTCGCACCACATCAAGTCGAGTGCCAAGCGACAGGAGCTGATTCGCCAGGCCCGCCAGCTGGACCTGACCGGCTTCAGCAGGCCCGGCAAGCCGGGCATCATCTGCGTGGAGGGCCTGGCGGAACAGGTGCAGCAATTCTGGCGCACCATCAAGTCCCTGCGCTGGCAGAAGATCAGCGTGGTACGGACAGAGCCGAGGCAGCGCAAGCGTGGATTCGACACCTTCACCGAGCAGCTGTTCAACGAGGAAGAGGGCATCATGAACATGGGACAGTTCATCAAGTTCCTGGAGGCCCATGGCTTTGGCTACATGAAATCTGAATTGTTTGGTTTAGCCTGAGTGTGGGGCACACAAAATTCTACGTTGCTAATAATTAATAAAAGTTGTTATTTGATTTTGGTTAAGACCTTTGTCGAAAAACTGTGGGACATCGGTCGATCGCTTGTGCAGATCCGATTCCTGGTCCGAGGCCAGCCGTTCGCTGGGATAGCTCTCCCGGAAGTGCACCTCGAAGGCTTTGCCGGGGGGCCAGGTACTCAGGAAAATCAACAGAAATATAAGACGACACATTTGAGGCATATATTCTTGAATATATATGCATAAACGAAACACACACAAAATGCAACACGTGCTGCAATCCACAAATGGAGCTTTTCACTGTGCTCTAAGCTGAGCTTCCTAACTGTTTCGAAAGTTGCGTGCGAGGCAGAGATGTATTTTCACTGTCAGCTTTATGGCTACCCTGCAAGTCGAAGAGTAGCATTGATTTATTTATTGTACAGTATATATATCTAGTATATTTTGAATTATATTTTAGTGTATTCTGCTCCCCTTTATATAAATCCATCTGCCTCGATTGCGGCCACAACCACATTGTCTGAATTATCACCTATCTTGGCCATCGGCTCCGATGTGGTTATCTCTTTGCTCAAGTCCACGTCCACCTCCACATTCTCTGTCTGGTGTTGTTGCTCTTCCTCCTGCTGCTGCTGCTGCTGCTGCTCCAGCTGCCTCCCCTTCTTCATGAAGGCGCAATAACAGCACTGATGTGAACGGCTCGAACTCTCGTTGAGCTTGGCTGCCTCTCTGCAGCGCCGAACGCATGAGATTTGGGAGTAGGCGCGTCTAAAGTTCTCATTATTGAAGCCGTAGATGAGCGGATTGACGGCGGCATTGAGGAACATTAGATACTGCGATAGGTACCAGAAGAGCTGCATTCCGCTGTCCATAGTGTTGTCGGCGTCGTAGTACTTTTCGCGGAGCACAATCATAATGGTGAAGGGCAGCCGGAGCACGGCGAAGACCACTACCACGATGAAGAGGGTCTTGGCCACGCTGCGCTTGTAGCTAACGATGAGGGGATTTTCACGGTTCTGCAACCGCTTCTCATACCGATCGAGCTGGGAAGCAGATGGATAGAGGTCTATCAGTTCGGGGGGAGCTCTGAGGACTATTGTTGTCTTACCTTGTAGAATATGGCAATGTAGCAGATCAGCATGATGCCCAATGGCAGCCAGACCAATATGGTTATGAGGACGTACCAATATTTGGGCAGAACGTCAGGGTTCTCCTTGCAGTAGCGCTCTGTGAAGTTCTTCCAGACTCGAACGCGATATGCCCGATAAAGGGCCAAGGGCGAGGCTAAGAGGACTCCCCCAATCCAGGTGCAGACGATCACGATTTGGGCTCCCCGCACGGTCAGTCGCGTCTCTCTGGGCAGGACAATGGCCGTGAGGCGATCATAGCTTACCACCGAAAGATTGAGCACGGCCGTGATCAGGAAGACCACCACCAGGAAGCCCTCCATCTTGCAGCCCACGCATCCGAGCTGATAGTTCTGGTAGAAATCGTTCACCATGAACATGGCCGGGCATATGGCGAGCGTCAGCAAGTCGGCCATAGCCATGTTGGCTATGATGAGGTTGGTGGCCGATCGCAGCGATCGGTTCATGGCTATCAGGTATATCATGATAAGGTTTCCATACAGCCCAAAAGCAATCAACGGAAGAAACGTGCAGATCTTCCAGGCTATTTCCTCGTTGGACTTGTGCAGCCAAATTCGCTCAGCGGGAAAGTCCCACTGGCTGAAGTCGAACTACGTTTGAAGATGGTTTAAAAGTGGGTTACTTTTCGGGACATTAGCTCTCACTCACTTCAGAACTGCTTGCGTTTGTGGCAGTCATTTCTGTGGTGCCGTGTCCTTGTCGTGTGTCGTTGCAGGCTTCCGTAGGGAGACTGCTTTCGTTCACAGCTAAATTAACATGACAACCTTTGAGCCGACATAATTCATATTCAGCCTGATTGACAAAACCATTAACAGTTGTTGCTGATAATGCGCAGTGAAAGCTAATGAAACACGCGCACGCCGCTCGAGTGGGTGGCCATCTGTTGCACATTGAATCTACGTTTAAATTGAGCACTTTTAATTGAAACCATTTCTACTATCATTGTACAACTAATTTGCAAATCCCTAGTCGATGTCCAGCTTGCGGAAAGAGCCCTCTGAGCCAAAGATAGAATCGGCATTGACTCGTTTCCCCGGTCGCAGCTGCTCGTTCACCCCATACTGAGAATCCTCCTTAAAATAGTCGCAGTAGGCCAGCAGCTGCTTCTCCGTCTCCGCCTGTATGTCGGATATACGTCCATTGCTGCCACCATACTCCTCGGGCAGGTATTCGCGTGGTATGACTTTGTTTAATTGCTCTAGATTCTTATACACGTAAAACTGTGGAGAGAAGAGAAAAGATAAAAGTTATATGAGTACGCTCAGTACGGATGAATCAGGGATAAATCTTCCTTTTCCTGGATTGGCCACTGACCTAGCCAATGTTCTAGCACGTTTCACAGCCCCCTCCCACGCTTTGACACTGAACCCTGTATCGCTCGAAATAGCTCAAATCTACAGACAGTAAAGTTGAAGGGGAGCAGAGGGAGAGGGTGTCAGGATTGAAGCACCAATGTTTATCAAGTTTTAGGTACTTGGCTGATAATCCAAGATAAGGGCGCGATAAGCGACGAAAATAAATGAATAGTTTGTGGCGGGTGAATTACTCAGCACTTGAGCTATTCATGGATACGTATACGCCCTTGTTTCGACCGAACACACTCACTCGTTGCTGCAGCTTGCTGGGCATGAGGCCCTTGGCCAGATTGAGAAGCGCCACCGCCTCCTTGGGGCAGTTGATAAGGTGAATCCCCTTCAGGCGGGTGGGCTGCGCCTTCTCGGCAAAGACGCCCATTCGCTTGATGAGGGTAAAGTCCAGTTGGGCCAGGAAATTGAGGCTCATCTTGCCCATGTCGATAATCTCGATGAATCCGCTCACGTTGGTGTGGTCGTCCTCCCATATGGCCTGCTCCGACAGCATCGTCTGGTAGCGAAACAGGTCCACCAGCTTATAGACTTTGGGATCGAATTTCTCGTAGTTGGTGATCTGGATGCGAGGTCCGCTGGGTCCCCAGGCATTGGGTAGCCGCACATAGGTGCTGAAAAGGGGATCCCCATTATTCTCCTGCACCTGCACATTGATTGATCCAGCCCTGCACTCACCCCGTACGACAGAGTGCCAGGATCTTGTCGTCCACCACCCGATTGGCAAAGAGCTCCGGCATCAAAGTCTTGATCGTGTAGAAGTGCTCTATCTTGGACTTGGACTTCTCCAGGCTAAATTTGCAGCCACGCAGGAATCCCACCAGGAACTGGTCCTCCTGGCGCGCCCGCAGATGCGGCTGCTTGGAGAGCCACTCGCGCAGGGCATCCAAGTCGGCTGGCAGCCGCTCCTTCACTTCGTTCAGCTCCGTCTCGGCAATGTGACGCAGCTCGGCGGTCAACGGACGTAGCTCGGCCATGATGAGTGGCTGTGCTCCCTGGCAGCTGTGCGGCTACTGAAACGTGTCTTCAGTCAAGTGAAAACCCAAAAGCCGAATCTACACCACAGACCGTTACCGAGTTTAAAAAAAATGCTAATCTATTGGCTAAAGGCCAAACTGATAGTGAGACGTGCTTTTGGCCGGCTCTCTCTCTCTTTTGGCCGAACTCGCTCTCGTGTGTTCGGGCGGGCGGGTGTTAGAAGACTCTCTCTTTTTGGCAGATAAAAGGGCGATTGGACTCTATGCAGCTGTAAATGGGGGAGCAATATACCCATACCCATTTTTAGATAATGTCCCTGGATCGAACCTCGCAACACACTAAATTGTTTGCAGGCCACTATCTTATCGCCGTATCTTAAAGCGGCACAGTTGGCTGGAAATACCAATCTAAGGGAATTCGTTTTTAATTGGGTATTTCTTCTCCAATGCACCCTTAAGAGGGATTAACCGAAGCACGAGCTATTGTGATTTAAAGTGCATGCTCGAAAGAATGAACTCTCTGACTATTTTTAAAACGTTTTAAACGGACAAGTGGCAGCACTATCAGTACAAGTACATATGTATTTATAACACTACCTACCGGTCATTGTTATCTACTAATCTTGCCTAGGAATCTGTTGGTTCACAGTTTGGCTGGTTCCATCACTTTCACACCACGGTGCTGGGCTCGCGCACTTTGGGGGAGCGCCAGGCGGTTTCAGTTCGGTTCGGGTGTTCAATCGAAGCAGGCGTCGAGAGTCCAATTAGTCGTGTACACACCTGGACAGAGAACACACACACACACGCACACCTCCGCACATACACCACTGTTTTGGTACCATATTTCCAAATTTTACAATAGCAAATATTACAGCACCCCAAGACAATGACCAATATCCGATCGCTGGTGCCGGAGCTGGCGGAACAGGCTCGCATCAAGCTCAAGGAGGACGAGACGACCAGGGCGGACTGCATCGAGGCGTTGCGCGCCTGGATCACTGAACTTAATTACCTGCAGGCGCGAACCGACGATCAGTTTCTGGTCGCCTTCCTGCGCCACTGCCACTGGAACGTGGATGAGGCCAAGAAGCGCGTATTGTTCTATTACACATACAAGTCCAAAGAGAAGGAGCTCTTCAAGAGTCGCCTGGTGGACGACAAGCTTCTGGAGATGGCTCGCTCTGGGTAAGTAGGGGAATCCCCAATATCCCCTGAAATGCACACCATTCGGTAATTGTGATGGCTTTGATTGCAGAATCTTTGCCACGTTGCCCAGTCCGATCGGTCCCGGTGGCCCCCGCATCCACTACACACGCATGGGCCACATAGAGCCCTCGAAGCACAGCGTGAGCGACATTTTCCGCTTCCATGCTTTCCGCGCCGAAATCGAGATCAACACGGACGACAACTGGAACATTGCCGGGGTGGTCGAGATAATTGATTTCACCAAGATTCCCTACTCCTTGCTCCTTCAGTTCGACCCGGGCATGTTCCGGCGCATGAACGCCTTCCTCGAGCACGGCATACCCACGAATTTAGTTGCCACCCACATCGTGAACGCGTCGCGTGAGACACAGTTCGTGCTCGGCCTCGTGCGCAATGCGATGAAGCAGAAGGAGCTGGTGAGTCCTTCTTTTTGCCCAGACGTGCGCCTGTGTATCTGACTTTCCCCTGCTTTCCTTTCCAATCCAATTGCAGCTGCACATCCACTCCAACCTCGAGTCGCTGCAGCGCGTCATCGGCAAGGAGTATCTGCCCGCGGAGTTGGGTGGGGATAACGGCACTCTGAGCGATGCAATGACACGGTACGAGACCCAGTTGACCAGCTTCGTCCCGTACTTCAAGGAGGAGGAACGCTACGGCGTGGATGAGAAGCTACGTGAGGCCAGCGAGAAGGAGCAGGAGAAGACCCCGGCTCTGGGGGCTGGTGTCGCCAACGAGGGCTCCTTTCGCAAGCTGAACTTCGATTGAGGCGTCCTGGCGGCATGTCGTGTGGCAGTTAGTTGTATATTCAGATGCACATACTACTATTTACACCCCCTCTATATATATACAGACATCCCGATATGTACACACAAATGTAAAAATTCCACAGCGCTATAGCGATCCTTGGTCAAAGCAAAACCTGATATTTTATAAAAGAAATCTACTAGTGCAGCATGGAACCTATAAGCAAATTCAACAATATTCTATACAAGTCCACACTAAAAGCGAACCCCAAAAGCAAAACAAGAAGAAGAATATGAAACGCCATCAAATGGTATAAAAACCTCACATGAATGTCGATTATAATTTATTGTTGTCCTTATCAACGCACACGCATAACACACACTTCCATACATACATTCTAACATTCTAACATCCAGCCGGATGCGGTGCGGTGCGGCCCGTGCACGGCTTTGCCTCGACAATTTATCCGCCCCATAACGCATTTCGCTCACCTCACGATGAATGTCGTCTTCTCGTCTTTTACTTATGTGCTAAGTTCTTGTTGGGTTTTACTTTAAAGTTTAAACGCATACATTTATATTCATACATACATGCTTGAATTCATGGGAACATATATATTTTCGATAATTTTTGCTTAACTAGTTAAGTGTCGTTTCTACTAATTTTTGATACTAGTTTACACATGTACATGTACACATATAGTATATCGTATGTATAGATGCATATACCTATAATATAAAGTCGAAATACAAACATACAGTTTATAAATGACAGCGTATTGTAGAGTCCCCCTGTTGAGTGCGTTAATAAATTAAAAATAATTTGTTTAAATGTCGAAAAAAACTAGAGGTGCAAAGTCACCGCGAAAGTGATGCATTACTTGTAGAGGGACCCTTTTTTGATTTATGTGGTAATTATCTTGCATGCATAGATAAAACCTATACATTCTGATTGACTGCGATGACGTATCGAACTTCGGACAGTACGTTAAAAATGATAAGCTGGAGCCAGCAATATATCTTTATTTCAGTTTAACTTTAAAATTGCTGGCGCCAAATCTGCTAAAGCGGGACAACTATATATGCTCGAACTAGTGTTGTGAAGCGATTTTTGTTTGAGCTTCGGCCAGAGCTTTTTCAGCGTCTTATCAGCTGGTGGCAGAAAGCAGAGAGACTTGTTGCGCGGATTATAAACAATATCGGTGAATATTCAATATGCCCAAGCCAATACAGCTATATTACGATTTCCTGTCGCCCCCTTCCCGTGCCCTTTGGATTGCACTGAAGTGGGGCAGGACCCCTTTCGCAGATTGCCCCATTGCCCTGCGTAAATGTGAGAAACGACAATCTAAGTATTCTTCATACTGTTTATTTATGTAGTTATTTAACCCTTGTGTTGCAGTCGAGCAGTTGACGGATGAATACAAGAATATAAATCGTTTTCAGAAGGTCACAGCCATAGTGGACGGAAACTTTCATTTGGCCGAAACTGTGGCAATTGTGCGGTATGCCCTAATACTGTTTTAATCAGAAATGCACCTTACCAACGCACCATCAGTTATCTCTCAGACAAAGGTCAATTCAGCAACCAGCTATATCCCAGGTCTGTGGAGGAACGGGCCCGCGTTGATGAATATCTGGAGTGGCAGCATTTGAACATTCGATTGGCTTGAACTTTGTACCTGAGCTTTTTCTGTCAGCTGCGTTCGTTCAGCTTTCCAAAAATAATTTGCCCGATTTTCGTTCCGTCTCCAATAATTGTATTAAAATGTCCAAGTCAATTAAGTATTATTATGATTTCTTGTCGCAGCCATCCCGGGCGTTATGGATTGGAATGAAATTGGGCAAGACCCCATTTGAGGGCTGTCCGGTGGCCCTTCGAAAACGTAAGCAAGAACGAACCAAACAAACTTGCCGGCTAATTGAATAAATTTGTTTACCTCTTCTTGCAGGCGAGCAATTGACGGACGAGTACAAGAAGATTAATCGTTTCCAGAAGGTTCCAGCTATTGTAGATGGCAAATTTCAGTTGGCCGAAAGTGTGGCGATTGTGCGGTAAGCCAGCAACGCCTGTGAACCTGCTAAAGCAGCTCTCAAATAACCGAACATTGCCCTCCTCTTTCAGCTATCTATCAGACAAAGGTCAATTTAGCGAGCAGCTCTACCCCAAGTCTTTGGAGGGGCGTGCCCGCGTCGATGAGTTTCTGGAGTGGCAGCATTTGAGCATTCGACTGGCCTGCGGACTCTTCTTTCGGAATGCGTGGCTATATCCCGTAAACGGTATTGCCCCAATGCCAAAGATTGAGCAGATTCAAAAGATGACTAAGGAAGTGGAGGCCAATTTGGGTCTCTTGGAGCGTCTGTGGCTGGAGAAGGACTTTCTAATTGGGGATCAGCTGACTGTGGCCGATCTTTTCGGTGCTTCCGAAATAAATCAAATTAGTAAGTCAATCCGAATTTGTTCAACGAATGCTATTTGCTGATTCACATTATTTACAGAGCTCTGTCAGTACAATGTAAGCGAGAAAAAATTTCCCAAGGTAGTCAAGTGGCTGGAACGTGTGCGAGAATCCTCTAATCCCTACTTCGATGAGGCCCACAATTTTGTGTACCAAAAGAGCAAGCAGGCAGTCAGTGCCAAGGTATAAAATTCTGCGAATCGTACCAGTCGCACTTGCATTTGTTAATGTTTTAAGGTTTTTATCAGTCCCTGCCATGTGCCTTTAAAGAGTGTTTTTCCTTTGTTCTGTATTCATTAGAATTCATTATTAAATAACTATTTGCTAAGTGCTTATCCTAGTCGATGTCGAGCTTTCTAAAAGATCCCTCAATGCCAAAGAGGGATTCGACGTTGACGGCGTCCCCTCGCCTCAGCTTCTCATTTGTGCCGTACGACACCTCCTCCTCGAAGAAGTTCTGATAAGACAAGAGTTTTTCCCTCCACGTGGTGACCACATCCTCTATGGTTCCATTGCTTCCACCGTACTCGGCCGGCAGGCATTCTTTGGGGACATATTTGTAGAGGCTCTCCAGCTTGGTGTGTATGTGAAACTATGAGTGTAAGCGGAGGATTGGTTAGCTATATTAAATACCGGGAGAGTGGGCTATAACTCACTCGCTTTCGAATCTTCTCACTCATCAAACTCTTTGCAATGGACATAAACGTCTCGGCACTGGCTGGTGCATTGACAAAGTGGAAGCCCTTGGGCCTATAGGGGAGTGCCTTGTCACCTAGAACGGCCAGCTTCTTGACCAGCACCGCATCGAACTGGAATATATGACCTGCCCCAACGCCCTTCATGTCGATGATCTCAACGAAGCCGGAAATCATGGCATTGTCGTCCTCCCGTATCTGAATCTCTCCCATCATGGTGCTGACTTGGACAACCTCTGCGATGGAGTACTTCTTGGAGTCGTATAGGCCATAGCGGGAGATGTGAATGCGGGGCCCATCTGCGCCCAGGGGCTGGGGCAAGCGGAGGAGGCATCTGAAATAATAATATTTCACATTGGGAACATTCTGCTGTACTATGTGATCGAATCGTGCTTACCCTGTTTCGAGTATTCCCATTTGCTTCTCTCCCACAAAGCGATTCTTGTATAACTCGGGAACGACGCCTCGCATGGCATAGAAGTTGTCCAGCTTGAGCTTGGTCTTCTCCAGGCTGTACTTACAGCCGCGCAGGAAGGCTATCAGGAACTGGGCATCCTGGCGGGCCTTCAGATGTGGCTGCTTTGAGATCCAAGTGCGCAGAGTCTCAATGTCCTCTTCGATCCGATCGGGCACCTCTCCCAGCTCCTTCTGGGCTTTGCTGGCCAGCTCTGGGCTCAGGCTGCGTATGGAATTTTGGTCGGACATGGCAACGCGCTCCTTATCACCACCTACCTGTTCAATGCAATGGCATAGAGTTTGATTTATTGAAATTTTTTCGAGGTCTTATTAGTCAGCCTGCCCCATTTCTGCCTCTAGCCAAGTTGTTGGCTGGTAAGTGGTGTCTCTTCAGGTTGATTAGATTGTAGTAGCCATATGGCTACAACCAATAATTGACAAAGTTTTCGATTAGATTAGTGGCTTTGTAGTTAAACAGCGACTAAGAGATAGTCGTATTTTGGTTTAAGTTAAGCATCGTAGATGCACCGACACAATCAGACAATCTTCTCGCCCCAAGTCAAGATATCGCTTATCATCGGAGATCTCCAATCTGTTTGGAGAGTGCTTGCCCAAAGACTTGACATCGGTTCGTCGTGCCTTCGTATTTAGCACACAGCTTGTGACTGGCTTTCTAAATTTCCACATTGTCCGACCTCTACTCACAATTGTCTTTAATTTAATATAGCAGTTATATATACAAATAAATTGGATAGCTCGTCTATATGTAGTGTGTATGCGCACCTCGTCGCAAAATTTGAAAGCTGAACCGCTGACTTTGACTGTGGGCTCGCGACTGCCACCGCCTCGGCATGGAAAAGCCGATTTTGGTTCTGGCTCTGGTTGGTTATGGTATATGGCATATGGAGAAACTGGTGGACGTCACGACCAGTGACGCATAGCCTGATGACAGTTGAACGAATCGACATAGGGAGAGATTGAGGGCGCGTACGGGAGCGAGTACTGTTGCAATAAACTAACACCTTTTTGCTCACCGGCAGCCGACACCTGGAGATAAGATAGAACACAAGCTGATCGGAGGCCACTCACTACGTTCATTATTCATTACAGTCGATGGGGAATCTCCTGTTCATCAGAGTGGCTGGCAATCATTGACCCGACAGGAAGTTGTTACTAAGACTTTTTATATAAAATTTCCATGAGCAAGTCCATTGTACATATATGGAGTTCTATATACAGGTTGGAAAGATACGGGCTCTAATGCGTACACCTGAACCGGTGCTGATATCAATAAGTCCACCTCCACATTACTAGACTATATAGAGCACTGTCTACCCAGAGATAACGATATTATCGCTGAAAATGATACATCTGTTTCCAGCTTTTATTCCCTTTTTGTTGCTTCGTTGGAGCTAGACAAACACGATGATTTCTCTATCAGCGTGGGCTCGCTTCTGGGGTCTCTTTTGCCCTTGTCACTGAGGGCCAAACGACCAAATCAAAATATCCAACTCATTGTGACTACGTTAATTTTATAGCAGGCCATAACTAAGTTTAGGATACATATACATACAATCGGAAAGATATGGCACTCAGACGAAGGCTTTTATCACTACTCAAATAAAAGACGAGAACGCTTTTACTGAATGAATTTTATTTATTTACTCTTCCTTTAAGTAAGTATATCTTATGCAAGGGTACCATAAACTAAATTCTTACCAAAAATGCAATAGTTTAACTTGGTTTTTGTGGGTGTTTATTCCAGTTTTTGTTTCGTTTACAATCGCGCGTTTACCATCGCGAATTTATGATAATATCACATTTATATATAAATAGTTAGAAAGTTTCGGTCAAAAGAAATGTAGAGACGCAGACAGGACAGCACTCAGCTCACAGCTAACAGCTGGATCCGTGCCTGTTCCGTCACTCAGAAGCAATACTGTACTTAATTATAAGGCAGTTGTGGTTCCGAAATTTCCATCGTGGGTTATCCTAAATGGTCGACTTTTCGGGCATGCGTGCTACACCTACTCGTACATACTCGTATTGCTAAGGTATCAAATCAAACTTGTATTCTATATATCTTATGCATCGTGTATAGATCTGGTAAAACAGCCCTGCTATTGGTGCTATTGGTGCTATTGGCGCCCAGTGTCCAGGATTGGCAAGTGTCCAAGGATGAGGCAGCAAGTGGCGAGCCCTAGACTCTTGCGTCTATGGATGACTGCCACTTGGCTGCTGATTTTTGTGCCCTTAATTCTATAAAAGGCCGCTCGGGTGTCGTCTTTGGGGGCAATCAAGCGCCAGACTGTCACACAGTTGCGCTCTGCTCAACTTTACATCTAGATATAATCGTATTTCGTATATATATTTATGTGTTTATGCATATGTAAGTGCTGGTTGTGGTTGTGGAAAATGAGGGATTCGAGTCCGAATGAGGCGAATCGTGGCGCTTATCGCTATGTATGGCTAAACCTAAGCCCTCCGCTGAGTCTTAACTGCTCCAAGCTGTGGCAAGTAGCAGGGCACAAAGCAGATAGAGACTGATGCGACTTTCCCTTGCGCCGCTCGCCTCCGTTGTCTGCTCCTCGCCGGAGACCAGGGGCGCCGTGTAGCGCTGCTCGTCGTCCACTTCGTTGACGCTGCGGGCGCACTGCATCCATTTGCGCGACGACAGCTTCGCCTTGGCGTGGGCCACCTTCATGCGATCGTCGTTGAACTCCCAGTAGCCCAGGTTCTTGAAGAAGTACGTCTTGCCGTCGCTGTACTGGAAGGCGGCATCGATGTTGTAGCCCACCCCCGACCAAATGCTCATGTCCCGCGGATAGTCCAGCTCCACCTGTCCCGTGTAGTCGTCGATGCGCCAGTAGAGGGTGCCGCTGGTCAGATACGTGCGGTTGTTGTGGCCCCACACGAACGAGGCATCGATGTGGGACAAGGTCGGAGGCAGCCCCAGGCTGGCCAGTGGCTTGGGATAGCCGCTGGCCAAGTTCACCGAATTGAACACATAGTACTGTCGACCTAAGGAAGAGCAAGAGCAAGAGCAAGAGCAAGAGGAAACCCACGTTAGCTCAGAGGCAAGGACCAATGTCATTTGTGCGCTGATGGCTCACCAATGAAGAACACGATCTGGCGCTGCTTGTTCTCGTACACCGCATCCACTCGGGTGAAGTTCTCGGGCAGGGCTGCCCAATGGCGGCGCGTTTCCGTGGGGTAGCCAGGATACATGCCGCGTGCCCCGATGCGCCAAAGGAACTGCAAAAAGGAAGAAGAGTTGAGTCCCCGATTGCAATGCTTGTACACTTGTGTTCCCTCTACCTGTCCCCTGAAGATGAACAGCTCGCCGCGGATCATGGAAATGGCATCGTAGCTGGTCAGGCAGCTGTCGGGCTTCGGCTTGCGGGGCTTGTGCTGCCGGGGGTGGTGGTGGGGCTGGTGCTGCCGCTGTCCCGTGGTTGGATACGGCCGCCGCGTTGTGGGCGTCCTCGATGTGGTTGTGCTGGTGCTCAGCCGCTCTCTCTCCCGGTCTCGCTGTCTGTTCCTCTCCCTCTCCTCCCGCTCTCGTTCGCGCTCCAGCTCCCGCTCCCGTTCGCGTGCCCGTTCCTCCTCTCGCTCCCGTTGCTGTCTCTGCCGCGCCCGTTCCTGTTCGCGTTCCCGTTCCCGTTCCCGTTCCCGCTCCCGCTCTCGATCTCTGTTGGGATCGTAGCTGGGGGGATATCGCGGCCGATAGTTGGGATAGTTGGACTGGGGATAGTAGCTGAGCGTTCGCATGGTGGTGCTGGTGGTGGTGGTGCTCGGGGTGGTGCGCGGCCGGTAGGGTCCCCAGGTCTTCTCCTTGGAGCCGTACAGCTCCTGAATGCCAGTGCGATCGTCGTCCGGCAGCTTGCCGTCCACCTCGTTGTTCTGGTACCATGGGAACATGACCGCATCCGAGTCCGAGGAGTGGCCCAGCCCCAGGGAGTGACCCAGTTCGTGCAGTGCCACATTCAGAAAGTTGGTTCCTGCAAGAGGCACGGAATGGCAGCAAATGAAATGAAATGCAACATAAATACGGATGACTGGTTAATGGCAAGGAGTGAAAGGGGCCCAGGCACAGGCAGGGGCAGGGGCAAGGGCAGGGGCAGGGGCAGGGCATCGCCGTCGTCGCCTTGACGACTTTGTAAGTGGCATAAAAATGGCGACGCTTGCAACATTTTAAAATGGCTGCCAACGTCACGCGTCATGCTGACAATTTTTTATTGGCATTAAAAACCATTAAAAATGCCGAAGCACAGCGCACGAGGGCGTGGTGCGGTGCGGTGCGGTGCGGGGCGGTGCAAGGGGCAGAGAATTTATTGTGCTAAATTACAAAACGCCAGTGGCGGCATGCGGCATGCTGCACGAGGCATGAGCCATGAGCCATGGGCCATGGGACATGAGCCATGCGGCAGGCAACGCGTCGCCAGTCATGGCTGATGCGGTCGCCGCGAATGCAATTTTTATTGATTTTGCCCGACGTGTGGCCTGCCACAACAGGCTCCACATGACCGCGAAACATGATTATTACCTAATTTAATTAGTTTACGTCAAAAGGTGAATGCAATTATGATGGAAATTTACAAACTGTAGAACACACACCTCGACTGTCGTCCGCGTTGCCGTCAAAGTTCCAGATCTCGTCCGCATCGAAGTGGGCATCGCCGCCGCGTCCTTCGCCGGGATAGAAGGCATGGGCCAGCACCTGGCCGGGACCGTCGAATTTATAGCCATCGCCGTGCTGGAGACTGCAAAAAAACAGAGAGCCAGTGAGACATCGTTCAGGATTAGTCCATGTGTCTCGGGGTCTCATAAACATTACGACCAAAGCTAAGGGGAACGCATATTCACAGCTTATCTAAGAACAAGCAGCTGCCACATAAACTCTTTGATTCCACTGCCATGCAGCAGGAGGCATGTTCTTGGACATTGTCATTGCTGGCATTGCTGGCATTTCATCATCGGTACATCGTGATTGGCTACAGCGCCTGGTGGTCCTGTTCCAGCTCCATGGTTTAATACGTGGCTTATTTATCGTTTGCCTCGGTTTTAAGTGCAGTTTTATGGCCTTTTGGCTGGTGGCCCATGTTTATGGCAATAAAGAAGCGCGTTTTTTATGATATCCAGCCCATCCCATCCCATCCCCTCCCATTCCCCAATACGTACCGAGCAAAGAGCACTTGGATGTCCGCCTGATCGCTGTACACCTCACGGAACGTCAGCTTGGAGTTGTTCTCCCACACGTTCAGGGCGCGGGAGACCATCATTCGAATCTTGCCCGCATCGGGCATCGTTTGGTTGACCAGGCTAAAACGAGAAAGAATTCGCACAGATATCACATCAGTTACAGTTCGAAACACACTTCCTATCCAGCATAAAAGGGCCCACAACAATGGGGCAGGCCCTTGCATAATTTGCGTCTCCTTTCCAGGGGATAAACCTTCCGATATGCGAATGTTTCCCGTAGTCGGACCCAAACTTTGTCGCTTATCTGACGCTGCCGTGGCCGTGGCCGCCCCGTGCAAGCCAGGACGAGAAACCACTAATATGGTGGTCAGAGCTCACTTTCCCCCTGCCTCACTTTCACTTTGTCATGCTAAAAGTTTCCATAATGTCTAAGGACGAAGGTGGTTTTCACTTAGTTTGGTTTTTTGTAAATTCTGTGCCAAAGTTTTTGGCAAACACACAAAATGCGTAACCGTACCTGAAGCTGAAGCTGAAGCTGGACCTGGTCCTGGTCCTGGACTTGGACCTGGACCGGCAGCCGCTCCACTTACGACTTTACTCGATTTCCGTCAGCAAAGTTTGGCCCCAGCCCAGAGATGGAGCCCTTTCTATCTCTGTGTTTTCGGGCTGGGTTTCCGCATTTTATGCAAATTAGTTATGTTTCTTTTATGTCGGAGCGCGTCTGCTGATGCTTCTGTTGTTGCTGGAGAAACAGAGACAGAAACGGAGGAGGAGGAGGAGGAGGAGGAGAAGAAATGGGAGCCGGCGACGTAGTTGATCCTATTTGTGGTTTACCTAAAGCCCCAGGACCAGGGCCAGGACCAGGACCAGGACCAGGACTCGGACCAGATGCATGCCCTGCCCGTATGCTGCGTGTGCCCTTAATTTCCATTGTATTTTTTCTAGTTTGGTTTTCCCTGTTCCTTTTTTTTGTTGTTGTCGGGTAGAGGCTTTTGGCCGGGGTTCGGGTCTTCTTCTTCAGCCATTACGGCATTTGCTGCCGTATCATTGATCGCCTGCCCCCAAATTGGCCCGTTTCCCCGTTTCTTTTGGCCCGGCTTTCGACTGCTAACTACTGCCGTGCTTCCAATCAAATTTAGTCAGGCCATTGAGCCAGGAGCCGGGAACGTGCAACGTCCTACGAGTTGGGATATTTCCATGCAAATTGCCGCTCAGCTAATAGAGTTTTTCACCGATAGATGATATCGCTTTCGAGAATCGATTGATTGCACCATTTGATATGGAGCTATCGGGGGTGATAATTGAATAAAGCTGCCACATGCCACATATGCCACACACTCGTATATACGTCTGGCCTCTTTCCCTTCTAGTTTTCGACATCCATCCTCTGCAACATCATTAGGCGCACGTACTGACAACTGCTGCATGCCACTTGACCTGGACACCCCCTCGACCTCTGACTCTGACTCTGACTGCGACTCCGAAACAGTGTCGCAGTTCATTTCCATGTTCTCGGTCTCGTCCTCGTCCTCGTCCTCGTCCTGGACTCACCAGAAACGTGCTCAATTGCAACGCCATTTGTTTGCCTGGTTGTTGATCCGCCCGTCTGGTCGGGCGGCAGGGCCGGCTCAAGCCTTTCGGTCCGGCAGGTCCCAGTCTCCTATTTGCACAGCGCTTGTTGCCGGCCGGCCAAGGGGTAAATTAACTCAAGGCATGCCAGCGCCCAACTGTCTAATCCTCAGGCTGCGGAGTCCCAGTCGCAGTCGCAGTCCCCAGCAGTCCCCAGCAGTCCGTGTGCCTTTGTCGTGCTAATTTCGTTGCCACTGCGTTCGGATTTATATGCAAACCATTGCCCTGCATCCGGTCACGTAGCCATTTACAGTTGCAACAGAAACAGCAGCAGTGGAGCTTCGGTTTGACCTCTGTTTGTCTTTGCCATGTCACTCTGTGTGCCGAGCATTTAAATTATTATGAGCCCTCAATGCAAAGAGAGATCCACCGAGAGAGTGGAGAGAGAGCAGGGCGGGGCAGGGACTGGGGAACGTGCATGTGGATACCTGGACTCCGTCAGACATTCGTCCGTTTTCCACTGTCTGGGGGAAACGTGTGTCTGGGCCAATTTGTAGCCTTACACGTAAAACAAACTGAACAATTAGGCAAATGGATGGAAAACGGGAACAGAGGCGAGTGGAGAGGAGAGGAGCGGAGATGCCTTCACTGGCAATGCCTGGGCGATTGCGAAATCAAATCAGTGGGTTGCCATGGACGTCAGTCACTCGTCGAAGGCTGGTGGAAGGCTCTACAACACTAAGCTCTCTTCCGTGTCATCACCAGGTGGAACCAGGCCGGCTCCCTTGCCCCAAAATGTTACATGCCCGAGTACGAGCATTTCCGCTTCCAATCGAGTAGACTTTGGACGTTTTCAATGCTCATTTGCGGAACTGTCACCATTATGCCAACGCAGCCGAGTCGCAATATATCAGAGCGGAGCACACATGCGATTTTTGATTAAAATTGCACACGGGTAACCAGGTATCCATCTGCAAAGGAATGGCATCCTTGCACTGAACTCTCGTCCCTGCTCCTGTCTGCCGTCTGTCACTGCCAGTTGATTGAATCGGGCACACATCGACCCATGAAATGTTTGTCCGCAGGCTAACAACTAAATCACCGATGGCAGCCGATGGCAGCCGCGCTTTGCATGCCCTTTCCTCCGCTCCTTCAAGACAGCCTCAAGTCCTTGGGTGCCCCAAAAAGCAGAGAAGGCCAGTGAACAAATGGGCTGGAATGAGAGTATTTTCGTTCCGAGATGTGGCGTAATAGAAAAGCCCAGAGGCTCAGACAAGGTGGCTCGCGGGTGTAGGCGGCGTTTTCCAATTTTTCCTCAATCGCATAGATTTTTCTTCTCGCAGACACAATTTCATGCACATTTTACTCGACTTTTCCTGCCATCAACTTCCGCTGAAAGTTTTCCCAGCAGCCAGCGCCCTCTAAACCCTCCGCCAAGGGGTATTTCGATTTGGAATCGATGTGGGCATAAGAGGATCCCACAGGACACAACAAGGGTATCTGCCTCTTCGATGCACTTCCCTTTTTTTTTTTGTTTGTTGGTTTTGTTGTCAGACAGCTATCGAAAAAGTTTTGCCCAACAAAATGAGTTTATTTTTTCTTTCTTGTTTTTTTTTTTGCTTAATTTCGCACAAATTAAAACGATGCTACAGGAGGGGGGAGAGCGGAGAGGGGAGAATAAAAAAATGTATTTTTGTCGCAATTTTTCGTTGTCGTGGCACAAAACTTTCCCCCAGAAATATTTCTCCAAACTCTGTCTCCCACGCCCCATCCTCTGTCCCATAGCCGTACGATGTCCTTAATTTATTGAACAGATATTGAGCATCGAGTGAATTACACCTGCGACACTCGAGATATGACAAGAGCGCGCCGGGACATCCGTTCCAAGGACACACCCAAGTGGCACTCCATGTGAGCGAGGATATCATCGAGGCATTGTGCGGCGGCTACCGCTACAATCCCCTACCCCTACCCTATCCCCTACCTGGCCGGGAAACGGAAATCCCCACCAGCCGGAGGGGCGGCCGCAGGTCCCCGAACATCTGCAAACATAATTATGCTTAACCGTCTGCTCGACATTAAAAATGTAAGCCCTTGTGTGCAAAAAGGGTTTGACAAGGGCACGAATCTCAATGAAATAGCTTAAAAACAGGTCAAAGTCCTGGCCTAAGCCCTGGAATAATGGCCCCATAGACTGGGGCCGTTTTCCTGGTTGGGTCGCAGCCATAAGCCACACGCAAACACAAACAGGACAAACGGGAAGGCAAAAAAAGCAAGCCAAGAAGGCAACAAATGACTTTGCATCCTGTCGTGTCATAACTAATTTAATTAATAAATAATCAGAATGTAACCCACAAGAGAAATAACGAAAAAGTACATACGAGAGTAATAAATGGAAATTTGTCATTAGCCTGAGACATTCCGAGACATTGACAGGGCCAGGGACACACACACGAGTCCTTCCACAAGTGGATGACTACCAGTCTCAAGTGCTTAAAATTGCAAATGTTATTTTGCTCATAGAGGCAGAGATGTGGGATGGATGGATGCCACAGGGCCACAGTAGGTAAATATTTGCCACAAGAAGCTGCCACATAAGTGTGCCACAGTTGTGCCCGTCCCCCCCGGGGGAGAGTGGTAGATTCCTTCCACATTCCTTCCCTTCCATTTATAATCGAAAATGATTCTTGCCATTAGGTATTATTAAATTTTCATTCTTCTGAATTATATTAGGCCCGTTATTTCATTATTTTCGTGGCTTTTAACGGAATAATACAGAACTTGTTGCCTTTTTGCAGTGTTGTAAAACGAACAATAGTTAGTTCTGTAAACTAAACTACAATCTATTGATTTATTTGGTTGATTTTTCACTTTGGTTTTTCAGTTCACTTTAGATTTAAGTCACACTTTTAAAGAAACACTTTAGCTAATACGGAAATTCGAATCTTGATTGGTTAAGTGTTGCAAAAGGGTGTTTTTAATGGACATACACTTTTCGAATATACACTTGGGATATTGAATCACTATTCTGTTGTCCGGCTTTGTGGATATTCTATCCTGCTATCGCTCACTCAAGGAGGTTGTGATGGATACCATATCGAAATAACATCACACCCAGGTTGAGTGAGTCAAAGCAAGACAAAATGCGACCCGAACTTTTTCTCAGTTTTCAGTTTTCACTTGTTCTTTTTTTTTCTTTTGTCCAGAGTCTAGACAGTCAACTTTTAGCACTTCATTTGCAGAACTTTTGCCAGGAGCTGAGATTTGGAATCGCTGCGGAGTGCGGAGTGCGGAGTGGAGTGCGGGGGAACCAGAAAAGGGACCGAGGCCGGACCACTTTACGCATGACTTTTGGCAAACAAATTGCATGTTTTATACATTTTGGACTCGTAAGTCAGTTGGCACTTGGACGGGGGGGGGGGAGGGGGCTTTGGTCCCTAATTGACTGGCAGGGGCTGCCTCATGTTTTATTTATGAGACGTTGCATGCAGAATAAAACATGGCTTCCAACTGGAAGCTTGGATTAAGAGTCGAGTCGGCACTAATTTGAC